GCAAATGCTTGAGACTGATTCTGTCCAATATTAAAGTGTCTATGGTCACAAGCTTTTGTTTTATGTGGATAGAAGCTTTCCCTTTTTTTCTTGCTTATACCTATGTATTTTCTTTTTAGTCTCTTAGAAAAAAAATATGAGTTTCACCACTTTATATCATAAGGCATTAGAAATATAAAGATTAAAAGAAACATAAGAGGGGCCTCCCTGGGGGCATAGGGGGTTAAAGTCTCAGTGCTATCAAGCTATCACCAGCCACTGTGGCCTGAGTTTGATACCTGGCCAGGGAGCTGACCCACATGGCACAGCAGACCTCCTGAGCCTTGCCCGCTGCGCCCCTCAGCAATGTGTTTCAGTACATCCACCCGCTCTACTCCCCACTTTGCCTCACTCTGTCTCGGGTGAATCCTCTCACTCCCCACTCCTCTGGCCTACACCCAGTTCTTGAATGCATAAATAATACAATAAATCTTTAAAAAAAGAAAAAGAAACATAAGAGGAAAAGAACCCTTTAGGTGTTTTCATTTTCTCTAAAGAAGGAAAGAGGACAACCAAAGTCTCTGAAACACTGATATATTAATTGGCCTGCTTGGTGAAGATGACACATTCACAGACTCCACTGAGGTGATTAAGTCCTGTGACCCCCCCTTCTAGTGTGAAGTGAAACAACCAACAGTTCGGTCAACTCGGCTAACATAAAGCATGAAGAATTAGCAATGCCAGGTTCTCCCATCTGGGTCAGGGAGTCACAAAAGTCAGAGGTGCCACTCTCAAAATCAAAATCAGGGAGTCACAAAAGTCAGAGGTGCCACTCTCAAAATCACATCATTTTAAGGACAGACTTAGGCCTATTACAAAATGAAATAAATATTTAATATTTCACTCAGCCTCAAAAAAAGAGATTGGCATTACTCTCTAGAAAGCTAACTTCCTGACAGACCCCTCAGCCCACCACCTGGCGCAGGGAGCGCGCCATCCTACTCTGCACACCCACAGCGCATGCTTCCTCTCGTCCTTAAGTTTGTAATTAAGTCCTCTCCTGGCAGCCTTTTAGTTCTTTTTCTCCTGACATTTCATGTCCTTTTTCGTGCCTTTTCTCCTTCACATTTATCAGTATCTACGTAATACTGATTAATTTATTGTATCTTTTGTCCATCTGGAACATCAGAATGTGAGCTCTGTGAGGGCAGGAGCTTTTCTGTGTTGTTCATTACAGTGTCTGTAGAGCCTGGAAGGGTGCCTAGCATGCTGGAGTGTGCGCGCCTCCCTGAACTTTCCTTAGAACATCACTGAGATATAATATCTGGTCTGGTTCAAAAATAATACAGAAGGAGAAAGGGTGTGGGTGGGCAGGAGTGGTCCGGGGGGTCTCTGGAGCTGGGCGATGTGCTCAGAAGGGCCACCTCACTCCACTGCTATGCATCACCATCCTCCATCGCGTGGGACAGAAACGTGAAATAGCATGTTCACGACACTCGTCGAGCGTCCATCAGCATCAACAATGGGCTGCTTTGCAGGGTAATAGACATACCCCTAAGCTTGTCCTCTGGTTAATCTCCAAAAGCTCAATGGCAGGTGCCAGGTGTTAGTACAACACAGAGGTCACCATTCCCGGAGCTTAGCTCTTGCATTGAAAAAGGCTTAGGACATCACTTTGGAAAAGAATTTTCCATATATCCATACCTTATGACTTGGATTTTTTTTTTAAGCAAGAAACTGAAAAACACAATGTTATAGTCTTCTCTGCAGGAAAAGCAAATGGAGGAAAGTGAGGTGAGCAATCCTCAAATTCTTACTTTAGGTGGTGGGTTCACAGATGTTTAATTTATTACCAGGCTTCATAACCCAGACAGGCTGCATGCATACAATATCTGTGCACATCAAACACAATATAAGCAAGTGTTTTTCAAGCAAACATATAAATATACTATAATATAAGCACAATAAAAATAACTTGATTGAGGTCAGGATAATGAGTATACTTGTTTTAACTAAAAGCTGGCATTAGCTAAAATAGTTAAAGAGGACTTGAAGAACCTTGTGTCGTCCAACACCAGGCAGGGCACAAGCCTGAGAACCAGCAGGTTATTTCAGTCCCAGGAAGCCTCAACAGCCTTTGGGGCTGAGTCAGATGACCTTTTCTGACAGCGCAGGCAAGCCAGGCTGCCTGCAGGAGACAAAGCTGCGACAGTCTCCCAGTCTCCCAGTATAACGCTCCTGATTCTCCCCAAGGAGGTTGTCTACTATCAGTTGCTTTTACAAAAAAATGTAGAAATAGTTGACTTTCCAGGATAAACCCAGGATGGTGGGAGTGCTCCCAGGAGGCAGGCACAGGGCCTCACAGGGAGGGTGAGGGGTTAAAGGAGCCCTCGAAGAGCCCAATGAGCTCCCCCAGGAAGACACGACTGTCCTCGCTTCTCCTCACTAGACACACAGAGCACAGCGTTGAGAGTCGTTCCCTGGCTGCTTCTCCACTTAGACTTGTGAAGTTTATCAGGAAAGACTTCTCCCACTCAAAGACAGAGAGGTCCAGAAATAACACTGTCTGGGCTAAAAAGAGGAATGTCTTTCTGGCATGTGTGCAAATATGAGCACCCACTTGTACTACTTTTTCCAAGTAACTAGCCAGTTCCTAACAAGGGGGAAGACACAGCCAGCATTCACTGTCACAACTTCGTGGCGAACATTCACACGGCTGCAGGTTTTAAGAAACACAAATGCACTGTTCATACTGGTTTTGTTAAAGGAGAAAAGGAAAAACAAACATAATCGATCACCTCTTTGGTTTCATGAAAATCACAAGTTTATTTAGAACACTGCTGAAAGGGAAAAAGTTTCCCCAAGGAGCAATAGCCCCCTTTTATAGAAACTAGAATTCATGTCAAGGGAAAATCTGATGTTTTCTTTAATTGAAAATAAACAGTAGTTTACTTCTTGGCATTAAACATTTACAGATGTGTGCTATGGCAGGTCACTACAATGACTCGATAAATTAAAAAAAAAAATAGATGCCACAGAGAATAAATCATATTACCCATTTTAAGTGAAAACAAATCCTAAAGCATTGCAAAAAAAAATCATGCCTGGGTTAAAACCACCACCTTCCCAGGAGTTTAAAATTAGACACTTTACTTTCCAAGATGAGAAGAGAACTCTAACACTTGATTGTTTCAAATACACTGCTGTACTGCCTCCATGATACCATCATGGCCAAGCATGTGGAGGGATCGAAAGATGCCACACACACGGGATTGGGCAGGAGAAGAAGCCGGCATGGGCCTGCAGGAGCAGCAATCTCTCCCGACCAGAAAAGCTTCACAGGCACGTCCTGTCTCTGGTATGGCCTGCAGCTATTCCTCCATCCAGGTCTTTCTCAGGACTTCAGAGCCCAGAGAGACGACATCAGTTCCCCCATCAGTGTCTCAAGCCCATCTCCCCGTCCCCTGGTAAGAGCCAGGCACCTGGTATTATCATCAGACACTGGGCAGAGTGGCACCCCTCACAGAGACGGAAGTGCTCAGTCACGGCCATCTTTGACAGCTCCTGCAGACTGTGGAGCAGTTTACTAAGGAAAAGGATCCCTTTCTCAGTGGGGAGCAGATGAGAAAAACTTCTCCCCAAGCAACCACTGCCCCTCACACATCCAGACCTCAACTTAGTCTCAATAGGCCTCCACGGAGGTGGCTTCTCAAGCCCTCAACCCTACAGAAGGGCTTGAAATAGCAAAGGCCTGACATTTCATCTGCACTGCCTCAGCTCCAAGGTGGATGCTAAGATCTGCCTTTCCTAATTCCTTTGCTACCCTAAGTATCAAATGAGATACCCCAAGTGACAAGATTTTTTTAAAGTTACCTAACGTGCTAGACAGAAATAAGGCATAAAATTAGCACTTTAATAAATCACCTTAATGTTTAAAAAAAATGGCACATACTACACTACCATCACAAGAAAAGTCAAGAACATATATTCATTTTCAGATCTCAAGATGGGCTCTGAAAGCCCTCTGAGGGGAAAACTCACTCAAATACCCACTAGAATTTGACTCTCAGGTGATCTTCATTTTGAAGTCTCCTTCGAAGTTAAAATATATATAAACAAAATGGCAGGTTTGAGCTAAATCACCAAAGTCTATCCCAGAACTCTGACCCTGGGAAAGAACATTGAGCCTGAGATGGCTGAAGGAGGATCAATGCCTTAATTCACGGCTCCAAGTGAACCACCCCAAAGCAGTCATCGGCACCTTCCTCCTCTTCCCTTAAAGAATTCACGGTATCTGGGCCTCCCCGGCGGCGCAGCAGTTGAGTGCTGGGCTGGGAAGCTGCCTGCAAACTCTGCAGTGCCAGTTCAATCCCCAGCCACCGGTGAGGGTCCCACATGGGCGCAGACCTCTCCTGCCGCCCGCTGCTCCCCTCAGCAGTGTACTTCGGTCCTTCTGCCTGCTCTGCTCCCTGCTCTGGCTCTGGTGAATTCTCTCACCCTCCTGCGCATCTGGCCTGTACCCCAGTTCTTGTATAAATAAATAAATAAATCTTAAAAAAAAATACAAACCAGAGACCTAAAATATTAAAAAAAAATTACATTAAAAAAATAAATAAATAAAAGAATTCACTGTATCCAACACAGTAGGACAGTGGACTTTTCCTGCTACAACTTACTACCTTCCTGGGATTCTACGTACAGAAATTCACCTTGGAATATAACCCAAGAAGGTCTGTTTTCAAGTGCCAAAGGACTTTTATAACCTGGTTGGCCTCACGCTTGAGCTCTCCTCATGTAAGGAGAACTTTCTATTGCGAGTCTAGCTAGCCCCACGGCTCCTGCTGCAGCAAATCCCAAATACTGCATATTCACATAGAATCCTTCCACATCCAAGGGAAAAAGCTGTCATTTTTTGTCCCCCAGAAAAAAAGTGCACTCTTGCACTTTTTCTGGAACTAATACCTAAAAGCAAGTTAAAAAAAATAAATTATTAGGAAATTGGAAATAATCTCTCCTCTTACCTCTACCACTGTGGTTCCCGCAGCTTTGCACATCGGCAAGTTGAAATTCCTTGCACTTTTCCTACAATGGGAAATGAGGAAAATGAGACAAAAATAAGAATCATCTCTTTAAGCTTTAATTATAGATGAATAGAGTTTCCAGGAACTAAGAGTCTGTGAATCTTTTTTAAAGAGTATATAATATTTTTCATAAGTTCTATAATTGTTTTATATATAAAAATATATATATAAATATACAAAACATTTCATTCAATTATATAGTTTTTATGGGATTGAGGGAAAGAGGAACTATTTTCATGTTCAACATACAGGCTATATGCAGAAAAGCAAAATGAGTATTAAAAAATTTAGCCTGTTTAAAATTAATCTCCCTAAATCTTTTAACTAGGATGCCATTTTTGTTTCTATGGTTAACCAGTTCACTAAATTTGCTTTTGTTAAAATATGAAGAGAAGTAGCAAGTGCTTTGTATGAGAAAGTATAATAATTATATTCTCTATTAAAGAGAAGCCTATTACTGAAATTTAATAAAACATTCTCTGGCAATTTGGGAGTTGCCTTAAAGATCTCTCTGGTGCATCAATATCTAATGAGATTTTTTAAAATATGACACCCACATCAGACCCTGATTTCAGTAAGGTACCAATTTTGCGGATGTTTTTGTACTACCAAGCTCCTACGTTAATATACTTCTTTTAACCATGAAATTTAAATGTAGTTTTAAAAACTTTTTGAGTGTATGTTGATAGAAAAACTTCTTTAGTAAAGGATAATAAGTCATAGCTATAATCATAAGGACAGGTGGACTTTTACAAGCTGCTGTTTAGATTTACACCAGACATCCAGGATCAAAAATTCCAAGAGCAGAGATGTCAGAGGCGAAGGCCTGGACAGACCTCTGTGCCAGTTGTTCCATAAACATAAAGGAAGTCCTAAGAGTCAGTATTTTAGCATCTCAGTCACTTGATCATTGGAGATGAACATTTTCACTTCACATCAGTGCTCAATAACCACAATGCTCAGAATAGTCCTCAGTCTTTACCTATAAGCTAGAGATGGAGCACAGGATATACTGGTGGAAATATTTTAAATAATTCATTTCCATTTGATACTATACAATTTCATCCATCTTTTCTAAAAAGGACCTAAGTTTTGCAAGCATTTCATCAAGGTGTCAAATAAGGTAGACATGATGTAAAATGTCTTCCGTAATTGCCAAAATTAGTTATAATTTTAAAAATGCTATATTCAAGAAATGTAATATAGAATATAATATAAGTTCATCAGAAATGAACAAAACAGCAGGAGACTGGTCACTGAGAATTTGTGATTACATTAAAGCTGCATTTGAGAAAGATAAAACATTGCAAATTAAAAGCAGCAAATGACAATTTAAGAGAGAAAATTATTTCAGCAATAAAACAGTGAATATTCAAGAATAAACATTTTGGAAAACTTCTTATATGCTTATATTCAAAGGTGGCATAATTTTCAAAAAAATAATATAATCTATAGATCCAAGGTACTAAGTAGTCACTATTTAATATAATAATGAAAAGATCTTGAAATCTATTAAGCCTGTGGCTTAAGATCTGTGGCTATGTATAGGTAGTAATAAGGTAAGTCAGCATTATTGAAGTTGAGCAACTTCTTATCTAGAAACTTTATAAGCATTTCTTACAGCACCTCTTGTGTGTCATCACTAAATATCAGCAGGACTGGAAAAGACTTAAATGATAGTAATAGCGTTCCATCATATCAACGTGGCAGAGTCATTTTAAGACAATGCAAGTAAACAATATTAAAATTCAACATAACTGCTTTTGTCAGGTGTTCCTACTATGTCTCAACATTGTAACTGGTCTTAGTGACTAAAATACACAAGGGAAAAACTAGTCTGCATAAGAGAATTTATAAGAGTATACAAAGTATATAGTCAAGCATTTAACAAGTGGTGCAACAAGGAAGCCAACCAATCAGTACAGACCATCCCCACCAGTGCCACACCAGCAGGACTACAGAGCAGCCCTACAAACACACACACACACACACACACACACACACACACACACGTTTGATTTTAAGATATTTTTAAATAGCAAACATACCACAATAGTCATTTTGTAATCATAATTCAAGAAACAAAGTTGTTGAGATGCATTCCATAAATATTTTTTAAAACCACACTGTACCTGAATATCACGTTTCCTGCTCGGTCAGCCTTCCAAGCTTTCACCAAAGCAAAGTCCCCTGTAATTGCTTCCTCCAAAATAAAATGCTGACCATTAAACTCTCTCACCTGCACAAGACAAAGAAAGCACTGTCAAGTACTGGCACGGGTCTTGGCTGACTGTGGTATGTGGGCTGACAGAGGCAGGTAAAAGCAATACAAGCCTAAAGAAGGAAGGTCTCTCAGAGGGAGAAGGATCTCACCTGAAACCTCAAGAACAAACAGTGGTAGCAACCAGGACTTAGTCACAGTAGTGGGAGAACTAAGAGGACACCCTGTGCCAAGCCTGTCAAGACAGCTGGGAATAGCTGAGGAAGTGACAGTCCCACAGGCCTGAGGCAGAGTCTGTGCATTAGTATTTGCTTTATTATTAGTGTATAGAGGCTTATACACCGAACATGAAAATATTCTCTTTCCTTCCACCCCAGAAGAGTCTATACACGTTGCATAAAATAACGCATTGCTTTTATACATTAAAAAAATTATAAGAATCCATTCATCTCTCCTAATTAATCTACTACCTGTTGACACCACTCTTATAATCTGCTGAGAATTTAACTGAAATTCCTAGAATATCTACATTAATTTGGAGAGAACTGATATGCCACATCCTCCCATCCTTGAACCTTATATATTTATATAACATATATAAGTGTAGAATATATGCCTACATATTTTGGAAATCTTACCTCCTCCTTCAAATTTTATAATTTGACATAAAAGCTTTATAGATGTATACACACATACACATATCAAAGCCTTTATATATATTACATGTTATATATTATGTCAGGTTTATTTATAAGTACTTCATGATTTCTGATGTTTCTATGAATGCTTTAATCGATTACATCTTTTCTGTCATTACTGATCTAATGGAATGCTTTCATAACAGAAAATATTTTTATTTTATTAATGTTTATTGAAGTATCCTTCGTTTGTAACATTACATAGGTTTCAGGTGCACAGACTTAAATATCAATATCTGCGTGGACCACATTATGATCTTTTCCAATAGTTTAGCTTGCATCCATCACCAAACAACTGACATCTTTTATTTCGTTTACCCACCCCGCTTTCTAACGGAATGTTTTATTTTTATTGCCTTTCAATTCTACTCCAAACTGGGGTGTAGGGGGAAGACCAAGCAAAATTATGCCATGGCATCATGTTCCTTTGTTTTCCTCTTGGGGGTTCAGCTCTGGGAATTGAAACAAAAAAGAGGACGCGACATCTGCAGCCCATCCCACGAGTCCACAGAAAGAGCAGGTTAAAGGCTGAACTCCCTTCACATTCCGACGGCGCCCCCTAGTGGACAAACTGCATGCTTTTTCCAGAAAGCGTTAACGTTTTGGTGCATTTACTACTTTTAACTATGTTTAAAGCAGAAATCCTTTCAAAAACAGGTCTTTGAAGATGATATTATCCAACCTTCCTTCTAGAAAAGATTAATGAGCCTAGAAATCAGAGATGCATGAAGCTCTTTTAATATAAACTTAGACAAATTATATGAAAGATACTTAAACAGCCATAGACATAAATAGGCAAAATACCAATTCTTAGTTATTTCAAAGCATCAACTGAGAAAAACAGTGAAAATAGCTGGGGGCCAGGAGGCTGGCCACTCTTTCTGGGCTCTCCAGCCTTCTCTCCCGTTCCTTTCTCTTCTACTGTTTGCTCTCCTGCTGGCGTCCCCGTGATGCTGCCCTTATAAGCCCAGTCTCTCAGCACAGGTGAATCCCATCTACCTATGTCCACACCCTGCTCCAGGTGCCCGCCATCAGACATGCTTCAGGAGCGCAAGGATCCATCATCAGTCCTAATGGCGGAGGGAAGAAAAAGCCTGATGCCCTTTCACTTACCCCACACTATTATATAATTTCCTGATGTTTCCTGATGCTACTTGTTGCTCAGTGTTAGCAGTTCTTAATTTAAAGACAGGGAAGGAAATGATTTTGTCAAACCAGCTGTTATGCTTACTTGAGATCTGTGATTTCACCATCTCTACTTCCTTACCGTGGGGTCCTTTCTTGAATTTACACAAATCAGAATTTCCCTGCTACTAGGCCAGAAAAACCCCTTTTGAAGGTGGCCAATGACCTCCCTGCTTCCAAACCCAATGGTGACCTTCCGGTCCTTCATTCCCCAACTGTTTACACTCCCTACTTTGTAAAATTTCCCTTGTCTTTCGAGCCACCATACTCCCCTGATGTCTTCCTCACAAGATACCCTTTCCCGTTTTCTTTGCTGCTCCTTCTCTTCATCCCAATCTTTAATGTCAAAGAGGTGTTTTCAATTTGTCTGCCAGCCCAACCCACTCATCACATCCTACAGGTTTAAAGAGTAGATGCTGATGCCTCCCAAGTCCTTGCCCCAGCTTCCAACTCCCTTGAGCTGGAGTCCCTGAGTACTCCCACTAAAATCTGATGGAGCAGAACACAAGTGCACCAAGTCCCACGCAGGGCCCTTGACTGCCCAGGCTCTGCCATCCATCCTATAGGCGCACACTGTCTGCCCTTACACCTAATCCTGTGGACTCCAGTCACTTCTCACAAACTCCACTGTTACCCCCTTTAAGTCTAAACCACCTTCTATCCCCACCTGGATCAATACAACAACCTCTTAATCTTTCTCACTGCTTCCATCCCAGTACCTACCAAAAAACTCACCACCCAACAGCCACAGGGATCTGCCTAAAATGTAACTCAGATCACATCACTCCTCCACCTCTATTCCAGGCTCTCTGTTGGGCTCTCTCCCCTGTTTAGTAAAACCCAAACGCACATGAGATGCTGCCTGCTCTTCGATCCCCACCCAGCACCTGCCCATTTGCTCTACCCCAGTCCCACCACCCTTCTGGTCCACAAACAGGCAAGCCTACCCCGGACCTCTCTTGTTCTTCCTTCTGACTGGAGTGCAGCCTGTGATCCTCGCCCTGCTCAGCCTCCTATTTTATTCAGGTCTCTACCATATGAACCTCCAGAGAGGTCCCTCCTGACCCCACTCAGAACAGCCTCCTGGGCTGCTGGTCATTTCTCACTCTTACCCTACTCCACGTGCATGTGTTTATTCATTTCTCATCAGTTTCTGCTAGCAGGGGACCTGGTCTAGAGAGATCCCTTTTAGACCAGGGCCTGGCAAAGAGTCGGACTTCTGTGAGTATTATTAATTATGAAACTCATTTACTTCTCCCCATCCTAGCCAAGGGAAACAGCTAACAAGAATCATTCCCAAAATTTGTCTGTTATATTCCCAGGGGGATTCAGATAAAAACCTAACTCCCGGTATTCAGGACAGTCTAGTTCAGCCCATGTTTTCCCAGGCAAGTTCTCAAAGTAATAACCCAAATTTTCTAAGCATCTTTACATTAATGAGGATCCATTTTAATAAAGTAGGCTCCTGTATTTTACTTTGCCAAAAACTTTTCAAACCTAATTAGGCAGTAAAGAAAGCAGCAAGATAGAATATGAAAAAATGTTACTAAAAGCTTTGAGTCAATCCAGGTCACTCTGAGCAAGAACGCAAGGCTCCAGATGGCTCTCTGCTGGAGACAACACTGAACAGCAGGGAGCCTTGTTCGGTGACCTTTTATCTTCCTTCAAAACATGGATCTGCAGAGCTAACACCACAGCAGGCGGTGATAAGAGGTCCCTTGATGGACTTAAGTTCTCACTTCTCTACAGACAGGCTCTGTATCTGCAACCTGTGTTAACTTCTTGGAGCCATGGGGGCAGGGAGAAGGGTAAAACTACAAATACAAGGACTGAAATACTAGCCCATGTGGTTTTAAAATTAGCTCAATTCAGAGTATCTCAGCCAATCAATATGTCAAGTTCACGGAACAAAACACCTGGCAGAAAGGTAGTCCCATCCTACCCAGCACTTTAAATAAAACCGGGTTATTCAATCTAAAAAGCAAGTGTGTCCAGCCGGCAAAATAAAGGATAAATGAAAACTATGAACACTATTCCTTGGCAGATTTTCAAGCCTTTTGGTCACAGCCAGAAGGGTCTGGGAGTAAAGAGTTGATACTGTTATAGAGCAACCCCGATCTTAAAACGGGTTCCTGGCTGTGGGTCCGGGACATCCTTTTTCCCCTAACAATACCACGTACAACAAACATCCTCTCTATGGCCCACATAAGCACAGAGACACATGCTAAATGCTTCCAAGTATGTTAAAAGCTATAACAACTAGTTCACATAAGCAATCCTCACTCACACATCTTATATAGATTATGGTTTCTTCTACATATTCTGGTTTCTCTGACTTTAATTCCTACCAGGTGCTCAGTTTTAACTAGATATTTTACCTACTACATTTACATAATGAATGACAGAGAGTCTGCCCCAAACCCCAAGGGGAAGAGCTACCAGTGTCGCCGCCGAAGGGCGCTTCTTACCTCTCTTGGTTTGCTGGCAATGGCGACGCTGCCATCTTTGTTGTACTTGATGGGGGCGCCTCCTTCTTGCACCAGGGTGCCATAGCCTGTGCTGGTGTAAAACGCAGGCACGCCAGCTCCGCCTGCACGAATCCTCTCTGCAAGTGTGCCCTATAAGCAAGAAACCAACACTCTGTAAAAAGCTGGGTAAGCAGACTTCTCTCTGGGTACCCAGAAACATTTACAGACATGGTTCCTACTCTCTGGAGGTTTAGCTCTCCAAACAGCACCAAGCAGTAGACATTGGTATATTTCAATAATACTGTCTGCTAAAAGATCAGTTTTAAAAAATTACTGCCCAGTTAGACATAACCTCTCTATTTTTTTTTTTTTTTAATATAAGAATCGGGTATAGGGTAAGGAAAAAATGTCAGGCTTTACTGCCCTCTCGCCATCAGGATAGATGATGGATCCTTGAGGTCCTGAATGCATGCCTGATGGCGGGCACCCGGAGTAGGGTGTGGGCATAGGTAGATGGGATTCACCTGGGCTAAGACTGGGCTTTTAAGGATGGCGTCATGGGGACGCTAGTAGAAGCCGAGAAAGCAGCAGCAGAAGCCGAGGTCACCAGAGAGCCCAGAAAGAGTAAAGACTTGGTGGGGGCTGGGAGGCTGGCAGGCCCCCCAGCACCTCTGCCAGCCGTGTACATGGTCTATCCAAATAAAAGCCTGCAAAAAAGCCACTGAGGGATCCAGGTTTCTGACTCCTCCTTTACCCGGTCTGCTGGATCAGAAAACCTGTGCTGTGTCCTGTTCCTGCCCCTACAATTGGCATAAGTCGGAAGGATGATCCATGCAGATGGGTATGGAGCCCTCCAAAGACCTGGAGGGACTAAGGAGTAACAGACTGTTTGCCTGTGACGACGCTGGAGGCGTCATGGTGGCACAGGAGACAGACATGGTCCGGGAGCTGCAGGACGAGACCTTGCATGAAGGAGACACCGGAGAGGACCAGCCAACGAAACCTGAGGCGGCAAAAATCGTGGGGGAAGAGAGGACTGACAATCCCGCCAGAAGGTGGAGGAACTTTGGCAAGTTAAGTTTTTGGGACCCTGGGGGAGAATGCGATTGTTTGTACACCCCAGGAGATGGGAATCTGGGGGTGGCCAGTGGGCCTCAGTGGCCAAAAGCAGCCTGTGCATGCACAGCAGCTAGGCAGAGGAGAAAAGCCAACTGAGAAGGCAAAAGCTGGTGCTAAGTTTAGGAAGCCCTCAGTGGTAAGCTGAGGAAGGTCAGTGAGTCTCGTAAAATCACCTGTGGGTGATGCCCTGCTCATAGTCGAGTAAGGGTGAGGAGCTGAGGAACCCGTCCTTGGGGGACAAGTGGGGGACGTGGCTTGGGGTGGAGCCCAAGCCAAATGTAGAGTTTGGATTCCCGACCCATGTGCTTGTGCAGTGGGTTGGCCTGAGTGCAGGGGTCTGCGTGTCGCATTGGTGGCTATGAAAGCCGAGTGTTGGAGCGACTGCAGACAGAAAACCAACCCTGAGGATTAGCGATTACCCCCAAAGAGTAGAGAATCTCCAATTCAGGAGTGAGTGCATCCTGGGGGTGGATGCAGTGTATGGCTTGTAGCTGAGACTACAGCCAGAGAAAGCCAAGAAGCCTGACGTCTCCTGGCGTGTTACAGTAGATGCCGTGAGTAGTTCCCCTCCCCTCGTATGAGCAGTCCCTTGGGCAGCAGATTTGGTGGCTCATCTGCTGGTACCAATAATTGTCTTTTGCCACTGGTTGGGGCCCTGCCTGGACTTACTTGTGTTCTGTTGTATTTTGTTACATTGTGATCTATTTCATTTGCTTTTGCTAGCCATGGCCATGGCTACAGTGTTCATATTGCCAAGAGACATGTGTTTATGACTTGTATATAGAAACTGATAAAGACTATGGCAGAAAACCCTGAGGGGGTGGACTGTAGGGTAAGGAAGCCGAGACAGAAGCAGAGAAGCAGAAGCAGAGATCACCGGATAGCCCAGCAAGAGTAAAGACTTGCTGGGGGCTGGGAGGCCTATCAGCCTCCCGGGCCCCCTGCACCCCTGCCTGCCGTGTACCTGGTAAATCCAAATAAAAGCCTGCAAAAAAGCCACTGAGGGCTCCAGGTCTCTGACTCCTCCTTTACCTGGTCTGCTGGATCAGAAAACCTGCTCAGTGGCTGTTCCTGCCCCCACACAAGGGTACAGGCCAGATGCACAGGAGGGTGAGAGGATTCACTGGAAACAGTGAGGAACAGAACCGGCAGACTGACGAAATACACTGCTGAGGGGAGCAGCAAGCACAACAGGAGAGGTCTGCGCACCATGTGGGACCCTCGCTGGGCCGCCGGGATCTAAACGGCGCTGCAGAGGCTGCAGACAGCTTCACAGTGCTGCATTCAACCACCTGCACCACCAGGGGAGGCCCAACCTCTCTATTCTTAATCCATATTACAACTGCTTATTAATGAAACCACACTGTCAGCGTCCAAGTATGCCACTGGTTTTTGACATCATATTCTACAGCTCTCTACTTTTAATATGTTTAAATCTATTCATTTTTCCAAAATTCTTATGCTGAATCCCTAATTTCCAGTGTCATTGTATTTGGAGACAGAAACTTTATGGACATTGTTAAGGTGAAATGAGGTCTAAACAGGAGGGCTCTGCTCCAGTAAAGGGATTCCTGTTCTTGTAGGAGACCCCATGGTGCTACCATGCATGAATTCTGTTTCTCTCTTTGTCTCTCTTCTCCTCCCCCCAAACCCCACCCCCACCCCCAGGATCAAATCAGTGGTAACTTTACTTTGCACTTCCCAGCCACCTGACCTGTGGAAAACAAATATCTGCTGCTTCAGTCAGTGTAGGTATTCTCTCAGCAGCACGAGCAGACTAAAACAATATGCTGTTTGCTCTCTTTTTCATACCAAAACCTTTAAATGAAAATTGGATGGACACAAGGCACAGGGAAATGCCCCAACAAGCAGGAGCCAGCGCTGGGAATGAGCAAGCATCATGGCTGTGCTGTGAAACCTGTTGGAAGAACATCCCCCATGGTGCCCTCTCTAGACAGGCATGGACTGTGATTTCATTACTACATTTTTTTTCAATTCTGCTACATGACATTGCTGTCCCTTAGATGAAGTCAGCTATAATATTTTCTGTTGATAAAAATAAAGTCGAGGGCCTCCCTGGTGGTGCAAAGGGTTAAGAAGCAATCCGCACCCATGCAGCACGAGTTCGATCCCTGGACAGGGAGCTACCCACATGGTACAGCAGACCTCTCCTGACTCGCCCGCTGCTCCCCTCAGCAGTGTATTTCAGTCAGTCTGCCTGTTCTGTTGCCCACTCTGTCTCTGGTGAATCCTTTCACCACCATCCCCCACACCTCTGGCCTGTACCCTAGTTCTTACATGCATAAATAAATAAATCTTTAAAAAATAATAAAGTCAAGTCTAAGAGACCCCACCAGATGGAACACAAAGGTACACAAGATGCAGACCCAGTTTTACCCAAATGTTTCAAAAGTTCCCTCTGTGACAAACCCCTGGGCCAGTTAGGAGACGATGTGGAAAGTGAGAAGTGACTTGCTAGATGAAGTGCTTGACCCCCTGATTTGCAATACATTGGTTCTCTGGAAGCCTAGGCCCTCCTCCAGCATTTCACTCTCCTCTAGTGCTTAGCAAGGCCAGATTATTCACAAATTTCTAATTCCATGATTCCTGGGAGGGGACTCTGAAGACAACCTTCAAACATTTCAGCAAGTCTTTTGCATATTTGCAGTACAATGCGCACTGCCGAGTCAAACTTGAAAATCTGTCCTAGATACTTTTCATAAAAATACCTCCTTTTTCAGCGCAGAGTAGCAGAAGATACTGATCCTCTAGCACTCAACAGGCATCACTACAAACAAAAGGGCTTGCTTTGGCAAGGCAGCATCCCTCTGCCTTCATTCTCTTGCACAGAGAAATGTGTAATGGGAGAAAGAAAAATTTTTAAATGAAAATTTTAAAATAAATTTTACATTTTATTTTAAAATAAGAAGACTGCAAAAGAAAAGCAGAGAAATGTTCTTACCTGCGGTGTCAGCTCTACTTCTAATTCACCACATAAATACTGTCGTTCAAATTCTGCGTTTTCTCCCACGTATGAAGAGACCATGCGCTTTATCTGCCTGGATTTTAGTAAGAGACCCAGGCCAAAGTTGTCAACCCTGGAAGAAAAGGAAAGCAGCCTACAGTCAAAGGAACACCTGATAGAGCACTGATATCTGTCCTCCCCGAAACATGCACTTTTATTAAAATAGAGGAATCCCCTCTCCTGGGCACTTGGCCATATCAAACCTTGGTACCCACCACCCACAGTGCCGTGCAGGTGGCTACCATTATTCTGCAGTTGAGAAACTAAAGCACACAACATTTCAGTGATTTTTTTCCCATTATGTGGGCAGTAAGGGGTTCAGCCATTATTTAATTGCCTATCAATCCACAACTCTATCCACATCTTTTATCCTTTTTACCAGATGTGGGGTTCAAAGACGTCACATGGAGGGGTTCCTGCCCTCAGCTTTGGAGGCATCTGAACAAGAGACCGCTGACCTGGACTGACCCCAGAGGAAGGTTTGGATGGAGAAACACTTTCTTTTTTTTTTTAACAAATTAATGCTTTTTTTTTTTTTTTTTAAGATTTATTTATTTATTTATTTATACAAGCACTGGGTACAGTCAGAAGCACGGGAGGGTGAGAGAATTCACCAGAGCCAGAGCGGGGAGCAGAGCAGGCAGAAGGACCGAAGTACACTGCTGAAGGGAGCAGAGGGCGGCAGGAAAGGTCTGCGCGCCATGCGGGACCCTCCTCCAGTGGCCGGGGAGCAGCCGGGGATCGAACCAACACTGCAAAGGCTGCAGGCAGCTTTGCAACCAGCGCTCAACCGCTGCGCCACCGGGGAGGCCCAAGAAACACTTTCTGTTCTCAAAGGGGGAGTAGGCGTCCTCATATTTAAGAGCGAGAAGCAAAGTGTACTTTTGAAATATGGACCAAAATGAAAAATAACTAGGAACATTTTCCCTCTGTCATAAATGCTTTGCTCAAAAAGATGTGTATACATAAACGTTTTCAAATCAAAAATATTAATTATAATCCACTGGAAAAGTTCTAAGAATAATTCTATTGATATATCTGTGAAATGACATGTAATATGGCTTAATATTGCTATTATTTAAAAGTCAGAATGTATCTTTTTCTCAGAAATGGTGTAAAAATACTGGCTTTGTTTTAATAAGGTGAAGGCCTCTAAGATTGTTCCTTATTTATTTCTATTATCTTTTTCAAGTTACATCGAGAAATTCAAGGAGTCAATGCAACAAACCATTAATCACTTATATGAAGTTCAAATTCACAGAAAACCAACACGTAACATCAGAAGCAAGGGTGATGGTAGTGGTCATATTCCATTTCTCTATCTAGGCATTGGTTACATGGGTATACAATCTTTAAATTTCCATCAAACTGCACCCTTGTGATATGTTCACATTTCTGTTACTCTCGATCAACCTTCAATAAAGTTTTTTCAAAGGTAGTAATACAGATAACAGCAGATACAGGAGTCTTCATTCATGGCCTCTCCCTCCCAGTTCCCACAGTGCTGTGATGGAGCTCATGTTACCATACAATTCATTCACACAACAACCCTTTACTGAGTTCTTACTGTACCCCCAAAGCTGACATGGCAAGCCCTGAACCCTAGACTATTATGGTATTATCGAGGAAATAAGCACATAAACCTGTAATTGTAACAGAGGGGAAAATATGGTAAGGAAAATCTTCATGAGGTGTGGTGAGAATAGTGAAGATGGAGCACCCAATAGTTATAGAAGAAAAAGGCACAAAAAGTCTTAGGGAAGGTGACATGTGAACAGACTGTCAATATAAAATAATTTTGAGAGAAGAATTATAGAAGTGATAAGGGAAAGAGGCAGATGGGCAGCTTTGAGGGCTCAGGAAAGGACTTGTCAAGTGTGCCTGGAACATCGTCTGGAAACGGAAGGCCATACCAAGGGATCAGGGTTTCATCCTGACAGACATGGGAGGCCTGTGAATAATTTCAGAGAATAAGAGGATAAACAATCAATTGGAGAGCATAGAGATGAAAGGTAGGGATGAAGGGGCCTGAGGTAGTCCAAACAAGCAAAGATGAGCTTTGCACTAAGGCAGCAGCAAAGTGAATGGGGGAAAGGGACAAATCAAGAACTATCTGGGGGAAATAATTTGTAAGAGTTGTAGCCCATCCTGACATATTGAAAGATGCAGAGACCCTCCACACGTCAGGCTGTGGTGATGGAATATGATGGAAGAGTGGCCGGGGACATCAGTCTCATGATCACTAGTGACATTCACCTGTTTCACCTGGAAGGTGGTAAGTGTGGCAGCTTGTGTGACAAGTCAGGGACGCTGCTCCTAACACCTCCTTTTGCCCAACCTCACTCTCCTTCCTCATGGTCCTCATATCTACAGTGGTCATTCTTGTTCACATGCCTTTTCCCCAGTTTCAGAATGTATCCCTTTCAAGACCCTAACCTCCCTCTGCCTCACCAGCTAATCCTCACACAAAGTAGTCCAGGTAACAGGTAACTGCCAACCTTCCACCAGATTTGCTTCATATAACCATAGACTTCAAATACTGAATTTGATAATATTTCCTATCCACCATAGGTATAAAATAAATATATAATTTATTCAAAAGAAAACTAAAGCCTAAATAAACCTAAGTATTTTTTTTTTTTTTTTTAAGAGTGCACTGGGGAGAATTCCCCAAAGGCTAATAACACACTTGCCCACTAGAGGGCTCCAATTCACAGAAGACGCACCATCTCTCTGGGATGCTCCTACTTCCCCAACTCTCATACATAGTACCTTCCCCATCTTTACTCCTAATTAATACCTACCTCTGTTCTTCAGGTTAACACTTCTAGTCCCCCAAACTCAGCCCACCTGAGGCCTTGCCCATGGAATCCAATGGCAGCCTGGTGCTCACAGATCTTCTCAGTGAAGAGATGGAGTAACCTCTGATTTCTTCCACCCTCCACATCAACTCTGTCAGGAAGTCCTCACTCTTCAAAATCTATCTAGAATCTGACTATTTTTTCATTGCTTCCTCTGTGACCTGTCCCATCTTTTATTCTTGTCCCCTACAATCTACTCACAAAATGAATAGCCAAAAATATAAGTATAAAATGGTCACCTGGCCCCTCTCTGCATCCTACTCAGATCACCCCATTGTATACTAAAACCTGCCCCTCCACTTCCAGGCTCCTGATCCTCCTTTCTCCATTTGTTCCCCTTAGCGCACATAACCTTTTGGGGAAAATTTATAATATAAATATATAAATCTATATCCCACATAATTAAATATTAGAAAATGTAGCTATTTGTTATGTTGTCAGACGGTCCATGCAGGCAGGGGTCTTTGTTTTGTTCACTGTTGTCCCCCAAGCATATGCAATGCATAAGCAAAAATTCATTTGTTAGATGAATTTATTGCTCAGTTCCATTCTACCCCTTCTCACTGGTTCCTCACTAATAAAAAAAAATCAAGGGGGCCTCCCTGGTGGCACAAGGGGTTAAGCACAGCTCTGTAAAGTTATCAGCAGCCTCTTCAGCACGAGTTTGAGTCCTGGCTGGCCAGGGAGCAACCCACATGGCACAGCAGACCTGTCCTGTCTTGCCTGCACCCCTCAGTAGTGTGCTTCAGTCAGTCTGCCTGTTCTGCTCCTCACTGTCTCTGGTGAATCCTCTCGCCACCTGCACCTCTGACCTGTATCCCAGTTCTTGTATGCATAAATAAATAAACCTTTCAAGAAAAATGAAAATCATGGCCTCCCTGGTGGCACAAGGGCTTAAGCGCAGCAGTGTGAAGCTATCAATAGCCACTGCAGCATGAGTTCAATCCCCAGCTGGCCAGGGAGCTACCCACATGGTGCAGCAAACCTCTCCTGTCTCGCCCATTGCTCCCCTCATCAATGTGTTTCAGTCATTCTGCCTGTTCTGCTCCCCACTCTGTCTCTGGTGAATCCTCTCACCCCCTGCATCTCTGGTCTGTACCCCAGTTCTTGTATGCATAAATAAATAAATCTTAAAAAAAAAAAAGAAAATCAAGTCCTTCTGCTGCACACCCATCCTGAGCCAGGCTGGCTGACCTGTGCAAATTAAACCAGGGGACTCCCTTGCCCGCTAGCTTCTGGGTTCCAAAGGGCACCATCAGGTAGGTCACTCTCCTGAGAGAGGGAAAGGACCAGGTCAGGATTTATATCTCCCTGGCCCTCTCCCTGAGAAGCTGCCGCACATGGATAGCCCTTCCCCTAAAGCTATCCTCCAAGACCTGAAGTAGCACCCTCCTCTCATCCCTTCAGACCTGGGGCTGGCAGTAATAGCCTCTCCCTTAGCCCTGCTGCTTTCCCTGAGCCCTGACCATTCCTTTAAAAAGGGTCACTCTGGCAAACTCCCCTCAATTACCCAACATGAGAATACCACTGATATCCAAAGGAGTCTTGTCTCATACATCTTAAGAATAAAATAATCCATGAAGGTGAACACAGTCCATTTGCTTTCTGTCGTTTTAAATATCTGAAACTTTTTCCAAGCAGTCAGTTTCTGTACCATAAATCAGAATGCTCTTGATCATTGATTGGCTTTGGAATTTTTCTAACCACATTCTCGCAGCTCTATTTGGCTTTTCAAACCATTATACATTTGAACTTGACTCTGTTTGGAGATGACCTCTCTGAATTTATTGATTTTGGCTCTGGAAACCACTGTGTATTTGACTTTTGCTGCATTTCTGGAATAGCAACCCAGCATGGCACCCTAGCCAGGATAAGCTGCTCAGCCTCACATACCACTGACTGGATAACAAAATTAGTGTTTATGCTTAAAAAAAAAATGCTGCTGGACAGCTTGATAACAATGCACATATGGAGGAGTGACTATGTCCTCCCAAAGTTACATAGTTAACAAATTAAAACTTCATAAAAATTGAGGAGGGGAATCTGCCATATACTTTCCAACTAACAAATTCAGCAAATATGCATCTCTTATCTAATGCCTCTCAGACACAATGGGTAAAGGAAGTCTCTTTTTCATAACGTAGGAGAAAGATATATGTGGTTATCTGTAAATGAGGAACATAACATTTCTGATAGAGAAACCTGTATATTAAATCATCTTTGCAGCTCTTTCTGATACTTCATTTTGATGAACTTTGCAAGAGATTATCTTGCTCACCTCCAGTAGCCTACATTTTGCTAGCAGATGAGAGAGAGAGAGAGAGGATATTAACCTTCCTGCAGCACAGCAAACTTGGGTTTCAAACATTCTAGCTGTCATAAGTCTAAAGCCAAGAATCCATTAAAGAGATATGCTAATGTGAAACAAAAAGATATTGCATGGAAGACATCAGTGTCCTAAAAACATTTCCTGAATCTAAAATTTCATTTCCAGATTTTCATTTTCTGAAATTTCATTCCTTGATTGGCACGTCTTGTCGAAATAAAACTCATAAAAATGAAGTTACAACCACTTACCATAATGTTTTGCTTACTCTCATTTTAGACACACTTAAGTCTCAACTACATGACTGATATTTACACTGTAACATTAAGTATTGAAAGAAAAGAACATGCTGTATTTGGATATAAAGTCCATTTATGAAATAATTATATGAAACAAGTGAAATCCTCCATGAGCTGAGCACTCAAGTTCAAGTACAATTCCCTGGACGTGATTAACCCTTTCCAGCCAAAATAACCAAATCTTGGGGGAACACGAATATTCAGCCAAAGAGTCCTAGGTCTCTCCGGGGAGCCTGTCAGAGTCCTTCAGGGCTGCAGAGAGACCTCAACACAGAAGAAAAAGGCACAGTAACAGGCCACTAGCTTTCATCTCCTGGTTCAGAAATCATTGTTGCAAAACCAGAAATTTCAATTTCTGCTCACTGGGTCTCATAGAATTCCTGTACCTCACTAGTACAGCATCCACAAGTTAAAGTATTGTAATCACACGCCTGGGGACATGAATATGATCAGATAGTACTGACTAGTCTTCTACACGGAACTGGGGCTGTTCTTAGAGTTCTCTAAATCCCCACCTTCAAAATGTATACTCTAACTACTCTTGTCGTCAGGAATGAACATGCTTATTCTCCCCTCAGAGATTTATCTGGTTAACATATAGTTACTGCAAAACCACCGGTTCATAAAGGATTATAATTCATATTTAAAGTCTTCCAAAAATCAGGGCCTCCCCTGGTGGCGCAGCGGTTGAGCGCTGGGCTGCGAAGCTGCCCGCAGCCTCTGCAGCGCCAGTTCGATCCCCAGCCACAGGCGAGGGTCCCACATGGCACACAGACCTCTCCTGCCGCCCCGCTGCTCCCCTCAGCAGTGTATTTCGTCGGTCTGCCTGTTCTGTTTCCTGCTTTGGCTCTGGTGAATTCTCTCACCCTCCCACACTTCTGACTGTACCCAGTGCTTGTATAAATAAATAAATCTTTAAAAAAAATTTTTTTTAAAGTCTTCCAAAAATCAACGAAAAGAATTTTCTTGATTTTTCCTATCTCTCTAATCAAATCTCATCATAGTGTAGGGTTGCAAACACCACCTCAGTGATGCTAGGAGGGTGGTTTCCCTCATGAAGACTAATGGTTAACCCTCCACAGCAAGGTGAATGGTATCCCACAGCAACAGGTCTTCTTTTTCTTTTTCATTTTTTCTTTTAACATTTACCATTTTTTTACATTTTTTTTAGATAATATTTGCTTCCCCCACCCCCTCAGATTGAGTCCCCATAGAATCTCCTTCCCCAAGGCACCCCTGCACCATCACCACAGTCCCCTGTGCTCCTCCCTCCCTCCCTCTCACCGGTTTTACAAGTAAAACTTGTTCAAAACTAAAACAGAAATTTGGGAACCCTGAGTTTTGGAAAAGCTGCCAATTCAAGCAGATCTTCCGGCGAGCCCTTTTCTAAATAGAAAATAGAAAGTACTTCTCGTTCTAAATTCTATTTACCCAACAATTCAAACCTTATCATTGGTTCTCTAATGAAGCAATGCTAAGTTTTCCTCATTTCTCTGACTCTAGTAACTAAATGAAAGTTCTCATTGCTGTAGACCACTAGGATTTAAACTCCCCTAACTGAGAGAATCAACTGTCAATGACTTTGCACTTTGTGTTCAAAGAAGTTTGTTGTCAATACCTACTCTGCATCAGTATACTCTGTATACTGACATGCACCCTCTCTTGGAAGCATTGAGTTATCAGGAAAACCCAATGGAACACCATCAGAAGTATTTTTGATAGATAGATCATCAGTTTGAAGGGCATGGGATGTGTTTAAGAATTACAGTTGATCATGAGCAAATTCTCCATTTACAGAGAAGTTTCCTCTTTAAAGTGAGGAAACTGCAACAGATCTCTACAACCCTATCCAGCTCCAAAATTCAGTGACTCAAGAGTTCACAGGCTCAGCAAGCAGGGAACACATTGTTAGTAACAGGAGTGGCCTGTAACATGTATGGAAAAGAAAAATGCATTCATTGTACAGAAAAAAGGCTAAGTCTCCAGAGAAATTCAGAAAGGGGCAAGACCAGTGATGTCTAGGCAAGAAGATAACTGGATAAGGTTTCTCTGCAGATGTGTAACTTGAGTCAAATCCTTCAAAATGGGAAGATGTGGATACACAGAAGAGGTGGCAGCTTCTTTCAGATGAAAATAAAGCAATGAATACAGTCAGCAAAGGAAAATGGGCATAAATGTAAGATTGGTTTTGCTTCCCAAATAGCCTGTGCTATTATCCTAAATAGCATTCATGATAATAAGCTAAATTGAGAATTAAGGTTTTTTTAAAGTTTTTTTAAAGTTCTTAAGACCTTTAAGGTCTTTCGTTGCTAAAAGAGCTGATTTACTATTTTGTGCAAAAATGGCCTTTTCCTACATAGCCAAATATATCTTAACGGGCATACCATTATTGAAATGTAATGGCTTAGTGTAGTTCTTTTTTATCAAACATTGGTTTGCAACACTGTGTATGATCCAGGGGAGTAGGTTCACACCTCCCCAGATGTACATCAACACACCCCACTGACCACCAGAGTACCCATACCCCTTTGTCATATACCACTGAGCCACTCACCTCTTTGTTTCCCTTCTTTATTCCCCTCTACTAGCCTAATTCTGTAGTCATATTTCTAAGCTTTCTTTTGGTTAGATTTGTTAACTTCTTTGTTTTGTTTCTCTGTATTCCACGTGTGAATGAATGATCACATATTTGTCTTTTTCTTCCTGGCTTACTTCACTTAGCATAATCCCCTCCAGTTCTATCCACATTGATGCAAATGGCAAGAGATCTCCTTTTTTATAGCTGAGTAGTATTCCATCATGTATTTGAACCCCTTCTTCTTAATCCAGTCATCTGTCCTTGACACTTAGGTTGTTTCCATAAAAACTTCACTATTGTAATAGTGCTGCAATAAACACATGAGGGCATCTTTCCTTCAAATTAATGCCAAGATAAATGCCAAGGAATGGAACTGCTGGATATGGTAGATCTATTTTTGATATTTCGAGTAACCTCCACATGTCTTCCATGGGGGCTGGACCAGTGCACATTCCCACCAAGAGTGTGCAAGTGTTCCCTTTTCTCTACACCCTTGATGTTTCCCTTTTTTTTTTTTTTTTTTAATATGGACCATTCTCACAGGAATGAAGTGGTATCTCAAAGTAGTTTTGATTTCCCACATGCTAATATTTTTTATGTGCCTGTTGGCCATCTGTGTGTCTTAGTTCTTCTGCCCTTGTATGGTTTAGCATTGATCAGTTTGGGGTGCTAGCCTACTGTCTTAAGTGTTAGCTACATATCCTTCTCCTCCTATCAAAACCAACAACATTTTTGATGATTAATGATAGTCTTTATTGATCATCTAGAAAAATAGCATAGCAAAAGAAAGAACATGAAACAGATCTCAAGTTGATGTAAATCTTCCTTTATAAATAATTCTCTGTACTAACACACATCATCAAGGAACCTCTAAATTTTAAAATGGTTCAATTTGAAAATATATATTTTCACTTTAACAATGTATTTGGCACTTAGAAAAGAAGTAAAATCATGTAAGTCTGCTTTAATTATCATTATGAAGGATTCTAACAAAAATATTTGAATCAATGTTAACTTCTACACTTCCGCTTGTTAAACATTATCGCTCATGTAAATGGGGAAGTTTTCATTTCATTGATAACCTTTGTTTCTTCATTGAAACAAACTTGTTTCTTTCAAACCAATTGTTTTAAAAATATGCACTTACCCTGCATTGTTACTGACTGCAGTTAGCCCTTTCACTCCAGTCTTTAGTAAAGCTCCTATAAGATTCTCGGGAATGCCACATAACCCAAAACCTATAATAATCCAAAAAGATAGATAAACATTTTGTGAAGAGAATAGTGTTCTTGCAGTTAAATATGCATGGTAGTCTTTCAAAAAATAAGAAAAAATACAAAATGCATTATTAGATCTACAAAGCAAAACACACAGACATGTCAGAAGCTCAATAAATGGTCATGTATCTGTATCCAAAGTTTCGTATCATTATACAGCACCAGACATCACTGTCAAGTCCTTGATTCATAAGTATAAAGCCAAGTGCAACTAGTCAACATGGCTAATCATTGTTCTTCTTGCAACTAACTACATACATATTATTTTATAATTCAACCCCCAACATTTGCTTTTCCAAGTGTGTAGGTTTTAGGCACCTGAGTATATCCTTCAGAATTGAAAGCCTAGGCAAATGACTTTTGTTTCTTTACATGTTAGACAACTCCTCATAATATTAATATAAAATCACTGGTGGCCTAGGGGTTAAGTTGCTATGGCCTGAGTACGATCCCCAGCCAGGGAGCTGACCCACATGGCGCAGCAGACCTCTCCTGTCTCACCTGTTGCTCCCGTCAGCAGTGTATTTCAGTAAATCTACCTGCTCTGCTCCCCATTCTATCTCTGGTGAATCATCTCACCCCCCACACCTCTGGCTATACCCAAGTTCTGGGTTCTTCTACACAAAAATAAAATAAATAAAAAATTAAAATAAATAAAAATAAAAATAAATAAAATAAAAATAAATTAAAAATAAATAAAATAAAATTATCCAATGACTGAATGAAAAGGAGTCCTAAACATTAGACTTGATTCCTGTGACCAAAGCCTAGAAAATCAAACAATTTTATAAGAATCAGACAGCATGTTTAATGAGTATGTGATGATGATAAAAGATATTCCAAACAAGAAGCATCAGTAGATTGGGGGTGGGGGTCAATAATAGACAAGGTTTGTAGGCCCCCTATTTCATGAAATGAACAAAAGGAGCAGCCAGGTATGGACACATGAGATCAATGCAAAGGTTCAGAATTATATGTAATTCCCAAAAGTCTAGGGATTTTTCAATATTACTACTAAGACATCACATTTATAGTTTCAGCTTATCAAAATAATAGGAAAACACAAAAGGAAAGGAAACATAAAATACTTTCAGGAAGAGGATACTGTAGTAAAATGGTAAAAGGAAATGTAATAAATAAAAAATGAGTAAATATAATTAAGTAATAAAATAATTGGCATTTCTAATCTATATAGCTTTGCCACAATAAGTGCCTCACTTTGCTAAAAACACAGGGATGCTACCATAAAAAGGAAAACACTGCTAGTACTCACCTCCAACCAGTATTGTTGCACCATCAGGGATATCTTTCACAGCTTCCACGGGGTTTGTATAAAATTTGGTATGGTGACGTGTGCTGGTTGAAAAGTAGCAAACACATCCCTACAACATATAAAAAAAAAACCACTTTTAAGTGAATAATCACTTGGGGATTCGCCTTTACTTTGCACTTACAGGACTTGACTCAATTTTTATGCATACAAGAATATTTCACTGTCGCCTGTTTGAGAAAAAGAGAAGGGTAGTAAAAGGTCATCTTAAAACTAGAACAGACAAGCACTAACCACAGATTATCCTTATGATCAGTGTTTTCTATTATCTAAGGGGAAATCCTGTGACACTTGTAGCCATTCAAAAGAAAGACAGTGCATTGCCAAAAAATGATGACTCAAAATTTACAAAAATGATGTCATTAAGCATGATTTTTTAAAAAAACTTCAACCTTTCATTTAATTTATAAATATTTTCTGAGACCATGCTATGTGCCAAGTCTGTGCTATTTATTTACCAGTCTCATGAGGATTAAGACATGACTGCTGCTCTCAAGAATGTTAAGTACAGTGAGCACAATGTAGTTGGACCCCTGACTCAATCTTGAGTGTTGGAGAAAACCTAAAGGGACACAACAACATACAAATAGACACACGCCCCTCTGAGGTTTAAAGTTTACAGATGCAGGAAAAAAGTAGCAAACTGTCACCTATAAAGAGGCAAGCCTAGAATTATCACGATGTGTACTATCTGCTACAAAGCGATTGTCTACTGAGTATGTATGATCAGTTTTGAGCTGTTTCCCTCTTTATACTTCATTCACAACATGAACAGAAAAAAATTAGAAAGCTGACTGACTTGCAATCACTCACTCATACCCAAAATCACCACCTCTCCTTAGCCTCAAATATATACTCAGCCTAAGACAAGAACAAATCAGGAGATGGAAGCCTGACTCATGAGATGCTGTCGTTTTCACAAGCCCACAGTGCTCAGCTCTCATCCATGGCCTATCAGACTGGAGGAGGTGTCAGGGAATTAGCATGAAATAATTTCTAGCATTCTTTTCTTCCCCTAAAAATGTCTATTAAAAGTGTAATTAGTATAAAAGGCTGTAAGAGAACTACACTGAAAGTCAAATGGGATCTGTAAAGGTAGAGGTTACATAAATGACTTTTGTCCCTTTAAACATCCACCTTGGTCAAGGTCATGTGAGGAAAGAGGTATACCCTGGCACCCTGCCCCACCAAGGGAGAAAGAAGTAGAGTTAAAAATAGACAGGGAATGCACTACAAAGAGCTTTCTTCTCTGTTCTGTCCTCAAATAGCAAAGATTTATTTGATTCGGTTTTGAACATACACATAAACAAATAGATTTTTAATCTCAGAAATTAAACATTTAGTAGTTGAATAAAGTTGAAGATACCGCCTAGAAAACAGAAAAGAAAAATACATAGATATCTAATCCAACTAACTTACTTTACCAGTTAAGTTTCTGAAGCCTAGAAAAAACTTGTCCTTTACCCAACACAGGGTGTTAAAGTAACACTTGAAGGCAGGTTTTAGCCTTCTATCCCAATGTGCCACAATATGCTTCTACCACAATATGCCCCCTCCATGTTTTTTGAAGGTCCTCAATCTTATCCTTCTATTTCATTATTTATATATAACAAATCTTTATGAGTATCCAATATTTTCACAAATAATGCTGCTGTCATTATCTCTGCTTAAGGGTGAAGATAAGTTATTATACTCTATACCTTAAGCTCATACAGTGTTATATAAATAGTACAATGGAACTGAAAAAAATAAAAGATACAAAAATTGAAATAAATCCTAATTTTATCTCTTACCCCGACTCCCTCAAAAGAGGAAAGGTATGGTTGGGACTTAACAGGAAGAGAAGGAAAATGAAAGTATTTGGTCTATACATAAATAGTTTGAGAGGGTGAGGTTACCTTGAATTATTTATCCAGGCTGAGAAACATGAATCCTATAGAAGGAAGTCAAAAAAAATCTCATTTCCCCTACAGACCCCAAAACAGACCCTACAGACTCTTTAGATTCACAAGAAAAAAATAGAATATAGGTACAAACTTACAGGAAAGTAATTCCTTTAACTGATAGCATCTTCATTATTACTGAGAAGGTTGTCCCACACCTCAAAAACATATCTCAGAAATATTTTAGAAAAGACCCAATTGTTTCATATTTACCCAGATAACCAAAAATTAGAAGCAATAAAAATGACAGAAGTTTCTACGGGGCGTTAGAAGAGCTCATGGAAATGAAGAATTTATAGGCATTCAATTTTCATTTTTCATTTTTTACACACTTGGTTAACAATAGCTGTTGACATTTGTCATATCAACATTTGTTATCTATTTGCTGAGAAAACAAGTGTGGCATAATAGGTCACACTCCAGTGCTCTTCGTATCAAGTTACAGTCTTTCAAATGCCAGTTTAGTCACAATTGTGTGAACCCGAGAAAATCAGGTCCCTTTTGGGAGGGAAGAGGGAGATTCATTTTGTGCTTATGAAAGGATGATAATGATTTTCCAAGTATGTACTAAGGATTAAATAATGATGGAGGGAGAAGCACTTAGTCTGTTCCTGAGCCTCAGAAGATCCCCAAGGGCATATTAGCATCCCCCAATGGGCAGTAGATGAATTTTTCATTGATTGTTATTTAGTTGTCTTTTTTTTTAAAGATTTTAATTATTTTTGCATAGAGGAACTGGGGTGCAGGCCAGAGGTGTGAGGGGTGAGACGATTCACCAGAAACAGAGTGGGGAGAAGAACAGGCGGATCTACTAAAATACACTGCTTAGGCGAGCAGCGGGCGAGACAGGAGAGATCTGCTGTACCATATGGGGGTTAGCTCCCTGGCTGGGGATCAAACTCAGGCCATTGAGGTGGTAGTGCTGAGACTTAACCCCAGGCCACCAGGGAAGTCCCTTTAGTTGTCATTATTAACTCTCCCCTTAAACACAGACACACAGATTTTGACAGGGGGCTCAGAGGAAGGGAAAAGCACCAAACCTAGTATAGGAATCTGTACGCAGAGCACAGGCTGCACGTACAGATATAACTAATGATCAGTTTTCTTTAATTTAAAACTCTTGCTTAGAATTGAGATTCCTGCCCCAGAGGTGCCCAAGTGAGTGCCTGACATTGACGCCATGGGATATACCAGGGTCAAGATAAACGGGAGGCTGATGGCAAGTTCTGGGCGCTGAACATGGTGACTATCAGGAACATCAACTGGACAGGCTGTTCTGATGGGCTGTTTGCTTATGACTGTCTTCATCTAACCCATTACAAAAAGGCCAGCTCCAGATGAGATGGCAGAACAGTCTCTTCAGGGTGCTCTGCCCACTGTTCTCGCAGGTCAATGGGCAGCCATCTGAAAAAATAAAAGCGCTTTTTGATTCAAATCCTGTCTCTGCTAATTGGCTTTGGGTAGTGACAGGAAGCAGAACTCAGCTCTATTCCACTAACAATCTGACAAAGATTTTTTTTTTAACATGGCCCATCCTGAAGAAATTAATCCATGTGAACTTTGTTGAGGGTTTTGAAAAAATTGGATCCTGGTTTTAATAGTGCTTTTTCAAGTTTATTTCATTTGCAATCAAGTTTGTCAATCTAAGTATTCAGAGACCGTTGGCAATGCAGCAGTGTGAATGCAGACTGTGGGGCAAGAGGAAACAGGATGTCTGAAGCCAGTTCATCAGAACGTTTACAGTAAATCTTCAAGGCCTGAAGTCCAGAGGGAAGCTTAGAGTCAAGCACAATACCCCAGTGGCAGATGTTGGGTTTATCCTATTTAGGTGCCTCCTCTACGCCCACTTTCTGTCCCCACATTCCCTGCCTTGGGAATCAAGGAATAGCCACCAACACTTTCTGAGATGAAGGCAGGGTGGGGAAAAGTATGTCTGGTAACACCCTAAAAAACTGACTTCGAAGTAGAGTTCTAAACTGCTCATAAATTACTCTTTACCTTTAATATATTTTAAATACTGACAGTGATATGAAAAACCCAAGAGCCATCTGCTACAAAAATTAAATGTGCAAATAATTTGCAGAGGTTACCTAAAAGAGAGGAGAGTGATAAACTGTACAGCTTTGACATCTATTTTTTCTGGGGATAATTTTTTTCACCAAGGTCTTCCTTTACATTCATGTAATGCATTTCCTTTAGTTTTCCACTCTCTTATACCTTCTGCAATTTCCTTTTATTGTTTTCATTAATTTCTGCTCTATTTTTTTTTAAGATCTATTTATTTGTGCTTACAAGAATGGGTGTACAGGCCAGAGATGAGGGGGGTGAGAAGATTCATCAGAGACAAGAGTGGGGAGCAGAACAGGCAGACTGACTGAAATACACTGCTGAGGGGAGCAGCGGGCAAGACAGGAGAGGTCTGCTGCGCCATGTGGGTTGCTCCCTGCCTGGGGATCGAACTTGTGCTGCAGAGGCTGCGGACAGCTTCATAGGTTGCATCTTAACCCCTTGCGCCATCAGGGAGGGTCCTCTGCTCTAACTATTGAAAAAGGAAAATAAGGTTTCACTACCAAAGTGTAAAACACAATAAAAATTCTGACATGCCAATTTTTTTCAATTCAATCTAATTCTTTTAAAATCATCCTGTGTCCTCTACTTCCAATTGTTACACTTCCACCTTCCAGATCTGATTCTATTACTGAGCCCAAAATTTCCCTCAAGATTTCATAATCCAGAATGTCGTTTCTTTCTAACCACAACAACCATTATTTTGTTCACCCAAATTTCTTTTTCCTGTCATTCAAAACTCTGGGATTTAATGAAAATGCACTTCATTTTGAAGATCTTTCAGGGCAAGCCACAAAGCACACTGCCTTTTTAAAACAAATCTTATCCTGGGGCCCCCCTGGTGGCGCAAGGGGGGGGTTAAGAAAACACTATGAAGCTATCTGCAGCCACTGCAGCATGAGTTTGATCCCCAGCCAGGGAGGTGACACACATGGCGCAGCAGACCTCTCCTGACTTACCCACTGCTCCCCTCAGCAGTGTATTTCAGTCAGTCTGCCTGTTCTGCTCCCCACTCTTGTCTCTGATGAATCTTCTCACCCCCCTCATCTCTGGCCTGCACCCCAGCTCTTGCATGCATAAATAAATAAATCTTTAAAAAAAAAATCTTATCTTAATGATATGAAAACTGTAGAATCAGGTGATATTTGCCTTGTCCCCTAACAGCTAAATAAATCAGGACACAGAACAATTGATACTGCCCACTGCAGTATTAAAGTTTCACTCATAAGTGGGAAGCAATGATATACAACCTCACTCCAATGATAATGGCCCTAGTCATTAAAAATATAAAAAATAAAAAACAGAGACAACAAATGTTGGTGAGAGTGTGGAGAAAAAGGAATTCTCATACACTGTTGGTAGGAATGTCACTGGTCCAGACTCTATGGAAAACAATAAGGAGGTTTCTCAAAATATTAAAAATAGATCTATCATATGATCCAGCAATTCCACTACCAAGGTAGCTACCAAAAGAGTATAAAATCACTAATTTAAAGGCATATATGCACTCACAGTGTTCTATGTATAACAGCGAGTTATGGAAACAATCTAAGTGCCCAATGAGAGGGCAGTAGATTTAAAAGATGTTGTCTATATACACAATGGAATACTATTCAGCTATTAAAAAAAAAGATGAAATCTTGCCATTTGCCACAACATGGATGAACCTGGAGTAGATTATGCTAAGTGCAATAAGCCAGAAAGAGAAAGACAAATACTGGATGATTTCACTCATATGTGGAATATAGAGAAACAGAAAAAAGAACTGACAAAACTAAACCAAAACAGGCCCTAAAAATATGACTACAGAATTGAAGCTACTAGAGGGGAAGGAAGAGGGTAGGGGAGGAAGGAAGAAGGGGCCCAACAGCCTAAGGTGAAGGACGATGGGCCCTTTGAGGGTGGGGCTGGTGCAATAACAGACTGATAACGGACTGATAAAGGACATCCGGGGATGTGTGCACTTAATCTCCTAAATCTTATACGGGGTTATAAACCAATGTTACCTCAACAAAGGGGAAAAAATGAGGAAGAAAGGCTCTATGGAGAGAGGTAAAGAGAATTACGGCATCAGATGATAACATGCAGGTGGAGACACACACAGACTTGCAAGGAGGAGTAAGGCACCACCACCAAGAGGAGGTGGGGTGTGTTGAAACATTTTAGCATTTCAGTGTTGGACCAATGTGGAATGTTCACCTGCAGTCAGCAACACCAACTACACACCTCTGATATGATACATCACAAGGAGATCCCAGGTAGTTACTGACACCTGACAGTTCTCCGTAACTTTATTTTTCAAAATAAGGCACATATATTATTCTAGTGCGGGACGGATGCTGTAAAGGATCACAGATGAAGAGGCCACATAGTCAGCCTAGTGGATCAGGAAACTTGAAGAGTTAAAATACCAATGAACAGGGTCTCCCCGGTGGCGCAGCGGTTGAGCACTGGGTTGCGAAGCTGCCCCCGGCTGCTCCCCGGCCACCGGAGGAGGGTCCCACATGGCGCGCAGACCTCTCCTGCTGCCCGCTGCTCCCCTCAGCAGTGTACTTCGGTCGGTCCTTCTGCCTGCTCTGCTCCCCGCTCTGGCTCTGGTGAATTCTCTCACCCTCCCGCGCTTCTGACTGTACCCAGTGCATGTATAAACAAAACAAACAAACAAATAAATAAATAAAACATGCCTCTATATATATAAAAAAAAAACCCAACTGTTTGAGAAATCACCCTCCTTGAAATACCACTGTCCTTCATCCCTCTTTAAAAAAAAAAAAAAAAATACCAATGAACAGAGATGTGAAAATGCGGAAGGAAATCCCATGGAGAGAGGTTTATGAAGATCAGGCTGGTGAGGGGGACTGGGGCGGGGAGTCAAAGGCCTGAAAGACCACAGGAAAAAGTTTCAACTACATCCTTTAATGAGGAAGAGCCAGCAAAGCTTTTGAAACAGGGGAATGTCACAACTCTCATATGATAGCCTGAGCCAGAAAGGTGGAAAGGGAACTCATTCATTCCTTCACCCTTTCTTCAAAAATATTTACTTTATATCAAATAAACCCTGGGGACACAGAATTAAAACAAAGCACTGCACAGAGTCTCTGCTTTGATGAAACTACAAACTTAGCAAGAATAAGTCACAAAATTATTACACAGACATCTGTGACCAAGGGGTGGAGAAAGGAAGAGAGGAGAGACTGGGTCCAAGATTTCTGTCTTACACACTGGGAGGCTGGTACTGTTAACCAGTTAGAAGAAACAAAACAAGGGAAGGAAAAAACAATTCATGGCTGGTTATTTCAGGTCAAAAAGAGCCTGAGGTGCTGGTTATTTCGGGTCAAAAAGAGCTTGAGGTGCTAAGTGTGATGCAGGAGAAGTCAACCAGTGCTGGCAGATGGACGGCAGCTCAGGAGAATGGTGCTGGAGATCCGGGAAAAGATGGTTTCAAGGAAAAGGGGCAGATGAGGTACTAAAGGTAGTTTTATAATGACTTTTCAGTAATAATTTTTTATAACAAAGGAAACTAGAATGAAACGTTCCCCTTGCAATAGCAATGGAGGAAGGAAAACCTAAGTCCATGCCAGTGGCTCTGAAAGTGCTATCCTTAGACCAGCATCAACTTCGCAGGAACCTGTGAATGCAGAGAACAAGCCTCCCTCCACCTATTAAATCAGAAACTGCAGTGCGTGGACATTGCAGTCTGTTTAATAAAACCTCCAGGGAATTCTGATGAACACCCAAGCTTGAGATACTTGCTATCATTAAAAAAAAAAAAAAAAAAAAAATTCTCGTTGCACCTGTTTAATTATGCTTAGCAGAATATTTCTTAATACTACTTAAGTTCCAACAGGGGTTCAGAGTGTGTGTTTCATGCAAGTGGTATGTAAGGATGAGTGTGAAGCAGAATAGGCCCACAATATCCCTGCCACCAAGAAACTTCCCTCTGCTTAAGACAACGTGTGCATGTGAAAATTAAATAAGTACACAAGTGTTACAGCTTAATAGAAGTAGAAGGGAGGAGTTAAGGGTTAAATAAACGGTAACAGTAAGGTCACTAGCGCTGGCGGAACATTGGAGAGCAGGAGAAGCATGACATATGATAACCAAACCTGAAAGGCGAGTTTGAACCTTGATAGGAACTTTCAATGAGAGACAGCAAACCCCATAATTGGTAGTTCACCCGGCTAGAAAGAGGTTTCCTGAATTTCCAAAAGTGGCTTAATGATACACCTAGGCGGGAAAATGAGTAAATTACATTTAGGCAAATGAGTAACTGAGGAGAGAGAGAATGCTGTTGACCTTGACCTGGGCCGGCTCAAGGGTATTGTTATGTTCTCATTTACATTCATTTCAGCACTAGCAGCAAGAGACTGAATGAAGGAAGGTCAGGTCCCCTTTTAATAGTGCTTCATGTATTCAGAGCTATCTGCAATTATCAAAATGCTTCCAAGAGGCATCTGTAGGTAACACGTTCCAGATCTAAACGACTCCCTAGTGCTTAGCTAAGGGGCTCGCTGGCCTCTCAGCTCCCCGGGCTCCCAGAGGATCGGGACACGGTGAGGCAGCAGAGCAAAGGGGCGAGGCACTCCTGTGCGCGAGCACCCACCGTGGGCAAGGCACGGACTATTCAGTGAACTACCAAGTAAACTCATCACCGTTCTTTTCCCCTCCAAGGAAACGGCCCTCCGAGGGGGGGCACCTGGCGCTCGGGGCCAGTCCTGGGCTGCCAGGACTCCAGACAGGCACCCCACCTGAACCTGGGTTTACGCACCGAGGCGAGCGCACGGGGCAGGAAAATATCCTGCACGAGCCGCGGCGAGCGAGCCCCGGGGCGCCACCCGGTGCAGAGTTGTCAGCACCCGGGGCGGAATCAGGTTCTCAGAGTTTTGAAAACGGAAATTCTCCAACCCGAGTCCCCCGAGGGGCCTCGGGGAGGGACGCCGGCGCCCGCAGCCCCCGAGTCAGCGCCCCCCGATCGCCAGGCTCTCGGCTGGGCGCGGGAGACGCCGGGGAGCGCTCCACGCCGGGTCATCGCCGCCGCCGCGCGGGGCAGCGCCACCAGCCAGCGCAGGAGGAGGGGCGCGGCGTTCCACCCCGCGGCGCCCGGCATCCGCCCCCGGCGGGGAGCGCGCGCCGCGCCGCGGGGAAGCTCGTCGGGGACCCTGGGCCTCAGAGGCTGGTGCAAAGAGCCCCCGGGCGGCCGTCACCCCTGACCCTCCCCAAACGGGCGCGCCGTCTGCGCCGCGTTCCTGCAGCCGAGACCCTCGCCAGGAGGGTGCCCGGGACCCGGGTGAGCGAACCCCTCAGGGCGCGCTGGGGGCACCCGGCGTCCTCCCGCCGCTTTCCAGCCTCGCCGCCCGCGCGCGCCTCGGCCGCGCCTCGGCCCCAGCGGGCGCGCACGCGGAACAAAGCCCCGGCGGCCGCGAGGAGCAGCCCGCCGAGGGGCGCGCCGGCGCGTCGGGGCCACGGACGCCCGTTCCCAGGCTGCGGCCGCGGCGCGCGGGCCGAGGGGGAAACGCCGCTGCCCCGCGGGCTTCTTCCTGCGCGGGGCCGTCCTCATCGCCCGCGCTTTACCTGCGACCAGGGACCCCCGGAGCCGCGGGTGGGGGCGCAGAGGCGCTGCCAGGAAGAAAGGAGCCTGAGCGCCGCCATGTTCCGGCCGGGCTGCGGGCTGCGGGCGCGCGGGAGAGTGGCGGTTGGCGCTGCCGGGGCCGCCGCCGCGTCGCTGGAGGGCAGGGAGGGAGGCGCGCGGGGGGCGGGCTGGAGGCTCGACCGGGTGTTTGTGACGTCCTTGGGGCCTCCCCCGCCGCGCGCAGATGCTGCGACTTTGGCCAGACGCCCGCTGGGAGGGTGGGGGCGGCCTGGACGCCCCGGAAAGCCCCGCGCGGAGGGGTCCTTGTGAGCCCCGCGTGTTGGCGCGCACTTGCCCACGCTGGCCCCTTGGACAGCTGTTTGGCTCTGAGGGGAGCAAGTGTCTGACTGCCCCAACGTCTGGGATGAGGCAAGGCCTAGCGTTCAGGGAACTTGTTAGTTTGTCCTGGCAGTGTGTGGGCTGCAAACGGGTACTCCCCAGGACCTCCTGTCCCCGGGCGCCCCCAAATACCCCCCACCCAGCCTACTCCCCCCACCGCCACCCCCCACACACACCCACACACACCCCCACACACACCACTCAGCGGTCCTTGTTCTTCCTTTTCTCGGTCACCTTTCTCCACTCCCCACCCTATGTTATGTAGAGTGTGGACTAAAAATAAATTGAGGCAAGCAAAATTAAATGAGTTTATTTAAAGAATCAAGAGTGAGGACTTGAGCCAGGGGAAAGCTACCCAAATTCTAAGCTTCTCAATGAGATTTGTATAATTATTTCAAGGATTTCTGTGAAGACAGAATTTGGGTAGGGTGTCCAGTTGATGTATTTCCTTAATGCTATCTATGCATTGAGGATACCAAAGAGGAATGTTAAAATTTACCTTATGTAGTCAGAGCTTTATATTCTGGAAACTGAGGGATTGCTCCTCAGCCTTTTGGCTAAGAGCAAGGGTATTCTGAAAACTGGGAATATTAGCACCACTATAAACCTTAAAGTCTTTCTTTTTTTGAAGGTATTGATTTGCGGTGCAACAGTTGTCCTCAAGGCCCTGCGGTCTCTTTACAGGACTAAGCCTGACTCTTGGCGTGTGCCCTTAGTTGAGTCAGGAAGGAGTTTTACCCTCTTAATTGTTAGTGAACCTGAGTCATTTTACCCTGGGAACCAGCCATGAGCCATCTCCATGAGGTGTGACCAGCCAGACCTGGTCAACCTTGCCCCGGGTTAAGAGGGACAACATTAGAACTCAGCCTTTGGACTTATCACACCTTCTTCCCCATATCCAAGCCTGCATTTTTCAGGAGCCTTCAGGCACTGGACTCTTAGAAACCACAGAGATTAGTCAGCAGATGCAAACATAGAGGTGTGTGGTCTAACTACACTAAGGTTTGACAAACCTTAGGCAAGTTACATGACTTTCTTCAGCTTCAATGTCCTTAACGACAAGTTAAGATTACACATCATGCCAGAACTAGCATAAGGTTTACATAAGATTCCTGCCAACCCTTTCACCCCATTGTAAACAGTTAATGAATTTTAGGCGTTACAAGTTTATTAAGTTGAAGCAGTGGATTTGGTATGGCACAATCATTCTCTGAAAGCCTTATCTTTTTTGACAACTCCTTAAGGGCATGAGCCAAGCCTAATTTCATCATAACTAGCTATGCACTTATCATAGTGGAAGGACCAAGTGAAAACCGCATTAACATTTTATCTGGCTAAGCGTTGAACAAGTCCTGGGAATATATCTGTTCATTCTGAACGAACACAAAGCTAACAAGAAAATTAAATGAGTTCTTAGCTTCCTTCACAAGTACACTAAGGCACTTGTTAAGTCTGTCCATCCATAAAAGTACTTGCTCCTTCATGGCGTTCCTTTATTCTGCAATCTTTATTTTTTCCCCTAGGAATTTTCATTATAATTTTAATCAAAATCAGTAAGGGAACAATACCAAGTTAGACTATGCAATTACATATGGCGGCATTAACTTAGTAATGCTCTGTAATTTCTATACTTTAGGAAGTTGGATAGAGGGGAAATTCGGGTAATAGAACTAAATAAAGTCCCATTACTTGTCCCACTGCAGCATTTAGCAGCTGCTGTTACAGAATGTGAAAAAGCTTCCATTCACGTATGAGTCTGCTTTTCTACTTTTGCCCTTCCAGAGGACACATGGAATGGAAACAGCTTTGGAAACTCTAACTCTGGTCATCTGACTTCCCTGCTGGCCTCACTCCTTTCTTTGCTCCTGGAAGAGGTCTCTTCTCTCTGTGACTTCAAATCCCATGAAAAAACCAGCCTCATTGGTCTATGGGCAAAACACACTGTGCTATATTTTTGATGATACTGTGACTTTGTTTTATACTTTTTAAAAAAATAGGAGTATCTTGAACAATTTACAGAAAAGTTCTTTTGTAGAGATAACCCTTGTGGATCCACAAAGCAATTTTAATTGTAATCTGTGGAAAAATGTACTTTCTAAAATCTGTTTTTTTTTTCTGAACAAGTTAGAATAATTACCCTTGCTCTTGAAGGGCAGTTTGTATCAAGCATTTCTATTGTGAAATTTTGTATTTAACTTCCACATTCTTAAAGATTAAAAGAATTGAATTGAATTCAAAGCTTTTTAAATAAAGCTCTGATTCCAAACAATGAGGAAAGTTTATTTCGCATTATGTTGTATATATACATATATAATATCCCCTGTCTATCGAATAACTGCAATGTGTCAGTTAGATTATAAATTTTCATTCTCTGCCTGAGGGATTTTTATTTAAATCTCCTGAATATAACGTGGTAGCATGAGCGCTCATTGACCTTTAGGCTATCCTGCCCTCTCCCTTGGCCGACTGTTTCTTCAGGTTGATAATCAGGGGCTTTCAAGTCTTGCTTTTCAAATGTTGTTTGACTGGTTTAACTTGTATTAGGAGTTTTTAACTAGGTCATTTAAGTCATTTTTTAAAAATGTATGCATGATTCATTTTTTTTACAATAGTCTAATCCATGAAAAACAAATCCCTTCAATTAATTTTCCTCTATTGGATTTGAAGGACGTAATCTTGACCGGTTACATACATCTGTATTGTTTCATTACGTAAATCATCATCCCCCAATTACCAATTTTGTAAGCTCGCTATTTTCATAGATTCTTTAAAGCAGTGCATTGTGTTAACTAATGTATACATGTTTGTTCAATGGATTAGAACTGAAGTGAATTTTACATAAGATGTAGTTTCCTCAGAAACAAAATAAATTACATGAGATGAATGGAAAAGGCTCAAATCCTGGAATGAAAATGAAAATTACATTAAGCTGCTAAGAAAATTTGAAAGAGCAAAACACACCAGAGTGAGCTTGGAAACCTTTCAAATCTACTCAGTTTACTTATGCTTGAAACTTCTCAATGGTTCTTCCCACTGCCTTTAAGATACAAAGTCTACACTCCTTAATTTAGCATAGATGTGGGGTGGGGGGTGCATTTCTTCTGGTTTTCCTCTGCCCAACATATCTCCTTTATATTCCAAACTGTATTTGCCTCTTGACTCACACCATGAATTCAAATAACCTCATAGTCAAATGCTGATAAAGAGAATTGACCCTGGAGCCAGGCTGCCTTGGTTCAAGTTTCAGTTCAGCTTTTCCCAAGCTATGTGCTGAACTGCAAGAAGCAAGGTCATGGCTAGACAGATGTCTGTCTGGACTATTTGGGAGATAAAAGACACCTTGTGAACTCAGATCTGTTTTATTTTCATAATCTGGAAAGCATCAGATAGGATTCAAACCCTAAACTACATGGCATGAAAGACTTCTTTTATCTTTACAACTTCCTCTTTACCAAGTATGTGAACCTGACAGGACTTCAGATTCAGTTTCTCTCATTTGAATTACTGCAATCACTTCCTAAATGAAATTCCTTTCTCCCTCAAAGTGAAACACTTTAAAATACATCCCTTCAAATATAGATTTGGTCTTCTCATACGCTTTCCTAACACTTTCTAAGAAATCTTTTTAAGCTACAAATTAAAGTCCAACATCTGAGTATAATCAAGGTTTCTAATCCAGACTCAGCATTTACTTAAGGGTTCTCCAGGAGTACATCAGGGGTTCCACAAACATTGCATTTTGAAAATAAATTTTAAATATATTTCAATTATTCTATCAACTTTAACAAAGCAGTAGCATGTACACTCAGTTATAATTTCGTCCTGATTTTTGCATATTAAAGAGTACTATATTGTACAATTGGGAAAAAAATCTCAGGATAAAGTTTCTTAATTATCTTAATGCCTGTGTTTGAACTTTCAAAATGAGTCATGGATAAAGAAGATTGTAGCTTGTACTTGTCCTTTCATCACTTCAATATCTGCATGTTGGCTCCTGTAAATTTATATCATATATAATAATTGGATGCCCAGCTCAGACACACTACCACTGTTGCTCATTATAGCATGGTAAATTATTCAATAAGCACATCTAAAACAGTTCATGATAATGCTGTACTATAGATAGCATTAGAAGCTGTTTTTAATTTGAGTTATTTCCCATGTATCTATTGCATGAACATGAAGATAATGTAACTTTTGTTACTTCTTGTAAATGACTGATAATCATAAAATAAATTTTGTCATAATTCTAAACTTTATCCCATTTTATTTATTTTTTTGTTTTTCGTTTTGGTTTTTTTTTAAAGAGGCATGTATTTTCATTTATTTATTTATTTGTTTGTTTGTTTGTTTATACATGCACTGGGTACAGTCAGAAGCGCAGGAGGGTGAGAGAATTCACCAGAGCCAGAGCAGGGAGCAGAGCAGGCAGAAGGATGGAAGTACACTGCTGAGGGGAGCAGCTGGCAGCTTCGCAACCCAGCACTCAACTGCTGCGCCACTGGGGAGGCCCACTTTATCCCATTTTAACCATCACTTTTAACCAAAACCGTGTGGCCTCTGAACCCATGAGTGTGAGGTCCATTAAACAAGGCAGAAGAAATTGAGAAGTAAAAAGCAGTAAGCGGGGCTTTCCTGGTGGTGCAAGGGTTTAAGCACAGTACTGTGAAGTAATATGCAGCCTACGCAGCACGAGTTCAATCCCAGCCAGACAGGGAACTACCCA